AGAGGCCAATCTAAGCTTTTCCGTGATGTAGGTAAGGAAATTATGAATAGAACTTTGAAAGTTAATAATGGGGAAACGATGCAACAGATTGTTAAAAAAGTTCTTTGGAAAAATGTAGAAAAACTTTTCAAGTTAGATTATGGTGAATTTATCCAGACATATATATGGAGATCTAAAAAGGAGGGTAAGCAGGGAAATATTTCTGTAGAACGGTTTGTTTCACGGATGGGGACTAGATATGGTCACGAGGTATTGAAAAATCAACAGCTTATAAAGAAGGGTTTACCTGTCAATGAGTATTTATATAAAGTTCCCAAACCCGGTGAACGATTTAGTTACATTGTAGTAGTACCTGAAGAAATTTATAATAATTGCGGAAAAAAAATATCACAGAAAAAAGGAAACTGTATGGAATATCCAGATGTGGTAAAAAGGTTTAACAAGAAAATAAATATTGATTATTATACCGAGAGTTTATTTGCTCTTTGTGCCCGTTTTATAAATTATGATGATAAATACCAACCATCACCCGAATCTCTGGCAAAAGCCTTGGATCATAAAAAGAAATCAAAGGAGAAGAAATCAAAAAACGTTGAGGATTTATTGCAAAGCAGTGACTCTCTGAATCTAGATGAAGATGAAATAGCAAATATCAAAGATGTGGAGTCGCAAAAATTGGCTAAAAAGTGGCTTAAAAATTATATCAAGAACTTATGTGATACCCCGAAAAAAGATGAAACCATTATCTTCCATTTATGGAAAGATACCACCACTCACGCTGAAAAAATATGTTCTGGCATTAGTGAAGTTGACATGACTAGGTCTTCAGACATCTCTATGAGATATAATGATTACCTTAATGCATTAGATAGGATTGCAAGTTCTACTTATTCGAAATTATCAGATTTACTTTCAAAATTGTCTAAGCTTAATATGGATTATAGAAATGCGATATACGAATTAATTGTGCAAGCACAGAAATACAAGCCTGATATTATGATTTTGGAAGAATATATATTTCGATTTAATCTGGAATCGGAGTGTGAGGTATTAATAGATTTCCGGAATACATGGTACAAGGTAATTGGCCTTAGGATTGCACGTCTTCAAGCATTATCTATTATGCAGAACAGTAAAAAAAACAACCCATTGGAAGCAAATATTAACGAGATTGTTGACCTATATTGTTAAGTGATCTTGGTTAGAATTGCCAGACTCCACTAAGATACTTATACATTATTAATAATATTTTTTCGTATATAAATAATATTCAGGTTCAAATAGATAATTATATTATCTGATCCACATATCCCTCAACTGCTTATTTTTTTACTTATGCCCCATTCACGTCTAAATACCATAAACCATATAACAGCAATAATCAATAAGATAAGTAATATATATGCTAATAATGGTGACATTAAACTACTTGCTACGACAGGAGTTGCACCTATCTCTTCTATTGGAAGAGGCAAAGCCTCGAGACTAGGTCTCATCTCTTCTATCTCTCTCATCAAAATCTGAGGATGCGATTCGATCAAAGAGGGTGTGTTATTTTTCCGTTGTGCAAGATATGGCGTCACACTCTTGGGCATACTTGATGATATATCGGGTATAGAGTTTATATGTGTATCGTCTGGAGGTATATTGGATGATATATCAGGTACTACTCCGCCATGGACCGGTACAAAATTATTAATTTTTTCGCTCTCATCCATATTTTTTCTGTGTACTATAAACGGCCTAAGATCTTTGATAGGTGAGGCATAGCCTCGAGGAAGCTGAGCTTCGAGTCTTCGACTCATCACTGATTCCTCACTAATTACAGAGCTACTAACCGGTTTGGTTATATTTTTTTCGTTATCCCCACTAACAATGGATGAGGCATAGCCTCGAATCACTGATCCTTCCAATATATTCTCAGATTTCAGACGCTCCAGCTTACTAACTTTCAAGACCAGTTCAACTATCTTAGATTTGAGAGATTCGATTTCAGACCCTTTATTCAATGAGTCCTTCTGGGATAAAACTAACTTACTTTTTAATGATTTCATCTCGTTCCAAAGTAATTTAATCTCCTCTGTTTTTGTAGCATTCTCAGCTATAGACTCTGCGTGAGAAATATCTTGGCGGGTTTTTTCAATCTGTAGATGCTTAACCTCGTCAATGAGTTCCAGGGCATGATTATGTAATTTCTGGGTTTCGGTATTAGCTCCTCCTAGTTTCTGACTCAACTTGTTTCTCTCTCGATCCCAACCTTCCCTTTCTCGATCAAAATCTTGCTCTTGCTTAATACATTTACTCCGCAACTTACTATTATATTCACGCAATTTAGAAGATGATTGGAGGATACGATGTATTTCTTTCTCAAGGTTCCGTTCTCCTATCTATGTACATTAACAATAAATATATATAATAAAAATTACAAATAAATCATGCAAGATATGTACTATACATACTAAGTGTACTTTACGTACTATGTGTACTATGTATACTAAGTGTACTTTACGTACTATGTGTACTATGTATACTAAGTGTACTTTACGTACTATGTGTGTTATACATACTACCTGTACTAGTTACCCATATTATGAATACTATATGTACTATACATACTAATTATGGATACTATACGTAGTATAAATAATTAAAAAATATATTATGAATATTATAGGTACTATATTTCTACAAAGCAAAAATATTAACATGGTTAAACGTATGTGATCTGATGCAGTTCCATTATCATCGGAAGATTATAAATTCATTATGCAATATCGTGATGCAAAACCTAAAACTGAGGTTTTAAAGGAATTAAGAAAAAAATACCCTATGACGAATGACCGTTTTTATAGAATTTGGAGAAGGCAAGAAGTTGGTATGATAGAATGGTATCGGCCTGTATCAAATGAGTCGAAGACTCGAAGCTCAGCTTCTTCAATAGCATCCCTAAATCAGAATTTATCTATACCTAAATCGCACTTACCAAATATTGACCAAGCTAGTATAGTTGAAAATTCTAATGGTCAGACTTCAGCGTTTGAAACGCATCAAATTAACAAGGATCATGGTTCTTCAAACCTACATCTAGATTCTAATGTTACTTCTGATAAGCGGGTTAAAAATAGAAAACTGAGATCTAAATCTGTTCAAATTTCTGACTTACCTAATAACGGAGCTAGTGCCAGTAGCAGAGCCACGAGTTTCCAACTCAAGGCACATGTTATCAATGGGGTTGACACGGTCAATAAACTGACAAAAAAAGTAGGAGGAGAAGATGGCATGTATGCTATAATCGAACGTGAACGCAGAGAGGCAGAAGAAGCCGAACGCGAGTCTGAAAGATTTTTAAATCTCAACTAATCTATCTTCACCTTTTTTATATCAGTATTGACAACCTTCTCATAAAAGTCTTCAGGCTTATTTCTATGAAGTCGCAATTTTTTATTGAGTTCAATTAATTTAAACCTGGATTCAAGTACTTCATATAGTAATTTTTCCAGTTCCTCATAGCTCATGCGTTTTTTTTTAAAGTCAGATTGGCAGAATCTAAGCTAAAACCCGCAGGAGCATTCCATTCCTCAAATGGTACACTGTTATCTCTATCTCCATCTGTCTCTTGAGAAATTTGATCCGATGTCGAAGACTTATCATCCCGAGTTGCAGTAGCGCAATTTACTTCGAGCTTGTTCTTAACCTTGATCATATTTACAGGGATGGTGTGATCCTTTCCATTAAAAGGGATTTTCAATTCATCTTTACCCCAATCTATAGTGCATTTATATTTTTTGAGAAGCGGATTTGGAAATATCAATGTTGGTTTAGGGACACGTACAACAACAAAATCTTCACGTATAGTAAAACCCGGAGGGAATGTTATTGGAAAATTACGAGCAATGCCGATTGATTCTGTTGGAACTGTAGCAACACCGCTAAGATCATATTTTTCTAATTTATCGATTGGCCAATTTACACGTTTAACAATGTCTTCTGATGTAATTGGAGGCTCAGCACCACTATCGAGTACCAATGCTGGAATTTTTAAACGTTTGATTTTACATGATATAGTTGCAAGACTTGTGGCAGGCTCCTTTCTTCTAACAAAGTCAATCTCCATAGGAACGTCTAGTGTTTCTTCCTCCCCATCAGATTTGGATATGTCTGGAACTAGATCTCTATACTTGAAGTCTAATACCTGGGTTGTTGGTATCGAGCTAGATGGATTTTCAATTTTGGATTTCAGTTTCTCTAACCAATGCGCAGGTAAAGCCTTCTCAAGCATATCCAATAAAATTCGTTGAATACTCTGCTCAAGGATAGTTGATTTATTTTGGGACTTATCAGAAGTGGAGATATCTTTCTGTTTCGATTTGCGGGGTTTAGATTTCTTCTTAGTCTTGGATTCCTTAGGTTTTACTTTTTTTTTGCTTTAGCGGCTTTGACAGCATTGATAATTTTCACGACATCATCCTCGATAAAATTATTCTCAGAATCAGATTCGGAGGAGGTATTCTCAGCATCAGACCTTGTCTCAGAATCAGATCCAGAATCGCTATCAGAGGAATTGTTAGTATCTGAACCTGAATCTAGGGTAACTTTATTAACATTACCTTTTTTCTTAGACCTGCTCTTCTTGGACATTTAGAAGAATTTGAACGATGTCCAGTTCTATGGCATCCTGAGCACCTGTGTTGGGACGATTTCTTGACCTCCTTCTTAACCTGTCTAGTTATAGCCTTATTTATTGACAACTTATTCATACGATCAGCCAGATCTTCATCTGAGTCGACTTCATATTTTTTTGATCCTTTTCCATTGCTTTTCTTAGGCGATAAGGAATAGAATTTATCAACTACCCCTTTAGTAATTGTATCTATAAATAATTGTAAAACAGATGGACCTGCAGTGGCACTAAGACGATTTAATGCGTCACTCATTCCAAGCCATTCTTGATCATTCAAACGTAAATTTGAATCTCTATATATTTTACCTGGTTCCATTTGACTGGGTCGTACTAATTCTCCACTCCGTGGTTGAGGAGCTAGGTGTGTAGAAACAGGTTGAGATTGAGAAGATGCCATTACGGATTTTATAAAGCTTTCCATTTCGTCTTTACTCATACTTGTATTACTTAAGTAATTGTCTTTTCCACGAGATTTAGATAATAATTTATAACTAGATTGAGGTATTTTAGTGACTAATCCTAATTTTTTCTCAGCCCTCCGCATTTCAATTCGCTCTAGAACTTCAAAAAGATTAGCTAATGGTTGTTTGGTGCCAATGCGTTCTGCATCATCTTCCAGGTCTGGAGACAAACCTCGTAAAAATTGTCCTTTAATTTGTTACTCATCGAGCTTAAGCATTTTTCCATATTTTAAGAGTTTCGAGTAAAATTCTCCTATAGGTTCACTTCCCTGCACTAATGATCCATACACTAAATTGCGCTTCTCACTTATTACTGTTGGATATTCATTTCTGAACCGATATAATGCTTGACCAATACGGATAGAGTCAAATACTATAAGATTAGTGTTACCTGCATTAATAGCATTAACAGGTCTATCTGATGGTTGCCCCC